GCAAGAGGAGATACTGAGGTTAAAAACAGTTATCAGTGAGTTTGAGATAGCAGGAGCTGCAATCTGGAGGAAATAGCCATCAACTCCGTCTAATCCAACGGCCTTGTTCGATTTTAGCCGAGAGAGACTAGACTCCACATCTTGTTCACTTATGGGTGGAATAGTGTAGAGGGGCGCACTAGAAGAAATTCTGGAAGCGACAAATTCTGAAATATAGTCCCAATTTGGGTACAAGGGAGCAACGCCGAGATCAACTGAGGAGGTAATATCGGCAAAGTGGTCGTTGAATTGATTCGCTATTTCAATGTTGCCGCTCACCATATTCCTGTTAACGCTTAAGTGCCCAGGAAGATTTGAGCATTTTGCGGGACTGATATTACGAATGATTCTCCAAAGATTTTTTAGGATAGTCAAGCTTGCTCTTGATTGCATTGCGATAAAACACACTCTTCGCGCTGCGTATCATATGAACTACTTTGTTTCTGGCGTGCCGGTAGGCATCACAGTTTAAGGAGTTGTTATGAGCTAAGGCTAATTTATGCAAGCGGTTACGTTCCTATATAGCAACACCTATTTCAGCACCAAACCAATCAGGTGGCCGAGGTCGTTTGACACGACGAGACTTCACAGGTGCGTGTGTGTTCAGGACATCGTTAAACAAAAGATACCATTGTTCAATAGCTTCACTTGGATCGTTAAACACCTCAAGTGTACTCCAGGGAGCACAAGAAAGGTCGTCTATGAAAGCGTCAATAGAGAGCGATTTGCGTGAGCGAGTGTGCAGAGTTTTATGGCCGGACTGTTTAAAAATATTACTCCTGGAATTTAAAGATACAAAAATATGAAGGTAATCACTCAATGACAGCGGTAGAGTTCCAGAGTCTGTAACAAAGTCTGTCTGGGAAACAAATATGTGGTCCAAAAGAAAATTAGAAATAGGTATGGTTGCTTTTGTTATTAATTGTTCAAAGCCCAGAGTTTGAAATATATTTAAATAGTTTTTAGTTGCACTTGGTCTTGGCATTTCCAGCAGGTCAAAATTAAAATCACCGAGTACGACTGTAAATTTTTGCAGTCAGAGTGAGACAGCATTTCTTCCAGAAGACCCGTAAAAGCAACATTTGCGGAGAGGAGTCTGTAAAAAAAAACACACACACACACAAAAAAAAACATGCGTGACCTCGAACGGGGGAATTGAAGTTCGAGCCAAATGGTCTCGACACCTTAAATTTCCAAATCACTCCGTCTCTTTACAAAAAGATGTGATGGAACATAGATCAATCAGCCACCACCAGCACCAGTGTGGCGATCTTCGCGAAACAAATTATAATCATCGATAGTCAAGGCAGCACTGGACCAGGAGTCATCAAGAAACGACTCGCTGATGCCCAATATGAGATTTGGTTTACCATACCGATGACGCGCTACAGATGACAGTAGTAATTTGATTTCATCTAACTTGTTCGACAGATGGCATATATTTAAGTGACAGATAGTCAAACCTTTTTTCGGGTGATCAGATACAAAATCGTCAGGAATTGCAGGTATTTCAATGTGTTGCTCAGTGGCTTGTACGGCTGAGAATGATAGATCAACCAAACCAAGACGTGACTCGCCCATGGCAGCGGATGTAAGATGGCTCATATAGCTCCGATAAGTAGTTACACAAGCAGGACACGACCAGGTTATGCGGGTGGCCTCTGAGCTCTTTTTATATCCTTCGGCTTAACTTCACTGCATTTGATATGGTAATTGCAGGAACAAATACCACATTTCAAAGTTCGATGATTACATGCAATCGTTCGGCAGCAAAGCTTGCACTTGATCGGGCCTGGATTGACTTGGACATCTCCACTGATGAAAAGATCTGCGAGTTGGAAGGATGAGATGGATGTTGGTGTATGGCTGAGCCGAGCAGAGAAGAAACGTCTACACCTAAATCTCCAACAAAGATGGCGGCTGTCGACGAGATAGGAAACCTTTGATGACGGACTTTCAGCAGCTTCAGAATTCGCAGGATCAAAAACAGCATAACGTAGGAATGCTGGCTTAATTAGATAAGTGTTTAAGTCCAGATATTCACAGCAGGTAGAAAACAGCAAGAAATAGACGAATATAGCTGGAGAGCGGGAGTAAGCATTTAAGATGGAATTGCGAGTTGAAAAAGGGGCTAAGTGATAGTGTTTCGCATCTACGTAAACAAATGACCTACCATCAAATTGTAATACTACGACCACAAAAAAGATTTTTCCACAATTTCATTTTAAAATGTTTTTGAAACGATTGTGACGTTTTGAAGAGCCAAATACAAACAAAAGCGATTTTCAAGGTAACTTAATACTTAATTAGTAAATGAAGCACTGGATACCCCTTAGAGATGGGGTGGAAAGCGGAAGACAGTAGTATAAAATAAGAACAAAACGGTTTCCCGAAAATTTCCTTGGTTGACCAGCACAAGCAGGTTGGGAAGGAAAGAAATCTATTACTCTTTCCGTGACTCGATTTCCCAAGGGAAATACCAAATATTGGATATTCTTAGGAATAAACAGCGTGCTGGGTTAGTCATGTATTTAACTCTGTTTATCTAGATGTGATCAGGTGCTGTTTCAAAGTACAGTTTATTATTTTCTTCGAACATGGTCATAGTTTTAGCCTAAAAACCACAGTAGTACGAGCAAATCTAAAATTGCTAGAGGTCTGTTAACTACTTTTCCTTGAGCTCAAACTAGGTATCTCTTATTTGTGATCTGAATTCCACCTGTTCCTAGTTAAAGAAGTTCTATATTTAGGTTTCTACATGTGCGCACCATCTGAATGCAATTGTTTTAAATAAGTCATAGCAGAAGAAAACAGTTTTTGAAACTCATTTACAATCTTTTAAAGATTTAAAAGGTTTTTTAAAGATTTAAAAATGGTTAACTATTTGCCAATCGGAGTAATTTATATACAACTTCTAGCTAGACGAGGTCTCGGCGCCAATGAAATGTTGCTCCAGGGCAGATATTATGCACGTCCCGCTGTGCTCCCAAAATGCTGGAAAGTTGCCCACCAGAATTCCCAAAAGATTGCCAAGAGTGCCAAAATCCAAAACGTTGCTATCCAAATTTTAAAAGCTTCTACCTAAGTTTCTTGATTTTTTTTGGAATGAAAGGTAATCAAAGTTTTTGTTGTTCGTTCTCCACAATAATCACCAACTTTACTCAAGAAAAATATTTTGAAATTTTCCTTTAAAGAAATACACGTAAACATGGGAAAAATTTAAGGATATTCATGACTTAAGTCGAACTGACGAGTTGCTCGTAAATGCCAGCGAAATTTAAGGATATTCATGACTTAAGTCCAACAGAAAGAAACACATGCTTCATCTAGTGTCTTGTCGAACCAAACGATGTCAAATGACAGGTTATGTGTTCAAAAGGTTGCGAAACATTCGAGAAATTTGCATTAATTGAAGTTTCATATGAAATCGTTGACATGTTTCTGCTCAATTGACATGTGCTCTAAACTTTATTTTGCGAAAAAATTTCTCAAATATACAAATGCGAAAAATTCTCGCTGTTACCAGAATCGCAAAAAGTTCCTCCAACGCCAAAATTGCTTAAAAGTTGCCGAGCACAATAGGGACGGGTATTGCATTTTTTTAATGAAGACGCTAAGAAAGGTCGTGGTCGTTAATTGATATTTATTAAGGATTTCTTGGGAAAAGAGATCTTAAACTTTTACTGTGGATGTAGAATAGCTAAAGTTAATAGTGTTTTCGATTTCCAAAGGGGCTTAATGTGGACGTTTTAGACGCCTGTTAACAGTGTGTCATTGGTGTCCTGGTATTACCCGGTCAATCTAAACTGATCACGGACGATCTGGTTACAAAGAATCATGTAACTTAAAGACAGATGGCAGGATTTGGAGAATTCTAGCCAAGGCAATGATATTGCCAAAAAGTTAAACACGAAGGCGCGCTATATAAGGAGCCTTAGGTCCCACTGGACCATTTGTCAATCAACTGTCGTGTGATGTAGAACTCTTAAAGTCAAGTCAGCTTGAGCTACAGCTACTCCAAAGCAGTGAACAGCGGGCGCATTCCTCAAAATTGTTTTATTTCTTCGTCACAATACAAGAATTTTTGAGATTTGTAATTCCTTTCTCCAATGGAAACTGTCTTTGTTTGTGGCGGTAAATTTGAGATCGAAGTAGGTGGTTCGCACGTTACCTCATTCCACCATGCTGGTAGAAGTAAACAATAGATATCTCATTACCTCCTTTTGTTCGTCTACCAGCATTTAGATTTGACCCGCACACGTCAACGGTGAGTGACAAATGAGCCCAAGTCTTCGCAGAGAAGACTTCCTTATATAGTGGGCCTTCGTGTTTAAGGACTCCCACTTTAGCTTCTACTGTTGAGCGAGCTTATGTAAATTATTCATCATCAGGTTATTAATCCATTTAGTATTGTTCCACACATTCTAGAAAAATTGTGTGAATATGCAAATGCAAGACCGATGTTTTTGTAGCCATTCCTGTCAACCTGGAGAAGAATAGAAAATGAAAAAACAAAGTTTATGCATCAAACAGATGTTTATAATTATTTAAGGAGGCCTTCATCAGGTGTTCATCATTTTCGATCCATATCTCTGAATAAAATAGAAATGGGAAGGGGCGTTCTGTTCATTAAAGTTCACCGAAAAGGAGTACGTAGTTCAAATTGTCGTGCTAAAAATTTATCACAAAAGATAAAGTTGGAATTGACAAAGCTACAGCCAAAGACGTCGGTTATTAACTGCTTTCCTTTTTCTATATTTCTAAAATCAATTTCTCTTTGTTTTGAAACGATAGATGAAGTTGTGTGGGAGGAATGCGCTAACAAAACATTTATGCGAGTGCGTCCCAAGAGTAGTAAAGAACAAAGCCTCGTGAACAAAAATAATGTTTTGTATTGTCAATAACGATTAGGCCGAGATGTCGAACACGGTCGCGGGGTTTCGGGTTCCTGTGAAATTGACATTCACCTGCTGTTACGTTTTGTAATTAAAATTGTTAATTGAGGCTATTTTATATTCATTACCGTTTACCAAATAGCAGTGGCTCAATCCGTCAAACTAATCTTCATTAAGGCAGGAGAGGGAATTCAGGCGAAGGTTCGGAGTTGTTTTAGATTTAAAATATAGCTTCACAACATCAACCAACGACTGCGAAATAGAAACTTACCGGGTGGTGGTCAGCATAAAACAACCAAACAAACAAAAAAAAGGCTAAGTGGTTTTATACTTTTAAAGGTAAGAGACCTTACTCGTCATCAGTTTTGAAGTGAAGTCGAGGAGAAATGATGGAAACCCGTTTTTATTTTAAGCCATAAAAATACTTAAATCTCACGACAATCTCTGCGCAACAATCGCTCGAATAGTTCAACATGTTAAAAATAGACAAAAATAAAAAGAGAAAAACCACATTAAAGTATATTCTCTTAATCCGTGACACCCTTATTTTGTTACTGAATATTTAACAGTTGGTTCATATGTCAGCGTGCACTCATCGAGATATGAAGCACGCGGGAAGTTTGGACAACACGAAAGATGTGTAAGAGTTGCTCGAGGCGTAGCCTCGCGTAACTCTAGCTTCTTGAGTGCTCTCTAAACTTCCCAAGTGCTTCATATCTCGATGAACTCACAGCTGACGAATGAAACAATTGTTTTATAACATTTTCAACGCTCTAGTTTATGCATAAAAGGGAGAAATTCCCTCTCCTACGCTTCAATGCGTTGTTTATTTTGTTCCGAAAAGTATTTCGCCATGCTTCAATGATCTTGCCTCAAGTTGCTCAAAAACTGACAGGTGAATTCATGCATGGAAATGAAGTTAGAAACCGTTGATTGTTTTGTTTTCCCTTTCTTTGGGTTCTTTTTCGGGAGTTAAAAAATCCATTCCCAAAGAAAAAGTAGGCAGATCTTTATCGGCTTGTTCGCTTGTTGTCATTTCTAGTTCGACTTGTTCGCGGAAGTTTTTCCCGTTTTTTAGTGAAAAATGGTGAAGTTACTCGCGAGAAAAATTTTTTTTCGCGAGGCATTTGTTTGCTGACGTCAGCAGCGCGCACCATGGAAAATGAAAGCACGCTCTCGCTATTGAATTTGATTGTACGATTTTTCAAGCTATGTTATAATGTTTGTTAGAGCTTCTGGCATAAAACATTACCAATTTTCATGTAATGCAACAGGGAGGCAAGAAGCTTTTTGCCAAAGTGCTCTCTGATCCATCTTGTGCTTTCTCTAAACTCACCGGAAGCTTGATGTCGTTATAAGATTATACTGACGGATATACCAAATATTATTCTTACAGGAGAGATGTTAAGGCCAAGCTTTTGTCTCTTCATCCTGGCTTTTATCGAGGACTCTGTATCTCCTAATGTACAGTGCAGGAAGGAGATCAACATTCAAGGCATGGGACTGTGGGGGCCTGTTTGTCGTTTTCAATAGTTCTTTTTAGTATGACATGATGACTTAAAAATGGATGGAAATTAATTTCTTCCTCTTTGACCCGTAACTTGCCTCTGGCTCTCACAACTTCATCCAGTGCACATTCAAAATCTAACGGTAAAATCACAGAGACTGCTGAGACAAGTTCTTTCTTCGGTGAAAAACTAACAAGCAGGAGCTTGAGTCTCCTAGGATACCGTGTCAGGGAAAACTCCTAGAGTTCAAAAAGGCAGCGACAAACCATTATCCAGAGTCTCTCGAGGCAAATTAATTTGTTAAGGATATTACCCTGACATTATCTTATTCTAAACCAAAACTGTGCATGAACTTGTTTTATTATTTGCAAACCAAATAGGTGAAGAATGCCGATCCATTATTTTCAAAGAACCCATACAGGACAGAGTCTTGAAAGGCCATTTAATCAGGCTTGAAGAGGTGCCCCATCAAGGCAGTTGTAATTTGCTGTGTTATAGGGAGCCCAATTGTGTGTCCATAAATGTTGGGCCTTCACAAGGAGGGAACTACACTTGTGAGTTGAACAACGCATCGGACGAAAGTCCAGGCTCGTCCAACCTTCAGAGTAAACAAGACTACACTCATCTCAGTATCGAGGTAAAGTGACTTATTTTAAAAGGTGAACAATTATTCTTAGCGATCAGTTTGTTTGATTACTTCTTAAGCTAGCCTTGCAATTGCACATGAATTGAATTGAAGTGACTCCTCAGTAATGCATTGCGCATCCTGAGGAAAGTTTTGACCTGATTTCGATGGTATGAAATTGAGAGATTTTTCCATATGTTATATAACATTGTTACTAACGCTAGAGACGCTTTTTTTTATCTGATAAACGTTTTTTTTCTCAAGTGTTAGTTTATATAGACTATCGAGAAATGTGCTGTGAAACGATGAAATAGCCTTCATGATTAGTACTAGTTCGGGACTAAATAGGGTAAGAATGGCCTATCTATCTCCTTGCTGACCATCCTTCGTATGGTAGTTCTAGAAACAGAGATTGGCGACGAATCGAACTTTCGAGGAAAATGTCGATAAAAGAATCCTTCGACAACTTTCATTATTAATTAATGAGGAATCACTTGAATAGGACAGAGCACTAAAGCTAAGGTTCACCAGTGGTGTTACCTCTACAATATTGAAACAAAGGCAACAACAAGGTACTTGTGGCTAAAATAAAGGGACCCATTCAAAATAAATCAGCCGCTACTCGATCAGCAAACAAATTATCGACTACCGCGATTGATAGATTTTCTAGTTTAACGACTGATAAAGTGTAATTAATTCTTGTCTGCACTTACGTTATCAAATGGCCTCAAGAGATTATCGTTCAAGCAAGAATGTGCTCTTTTGAGACTACATGATAACCCGGGAAAGTAAACTAAAGATGGATGTTTATGATACTTAGTCATTTTGTCTTGAATAGAATCCCTGCAGCGGCAGTCCCTGTTTCAACAATGGCACACGTCAAGCTGGGTACACTGATAAAGGATTTCGTTGTAAATGTCCTTTAGGATTCACTGGCGTATACTGCAAAAAAGGTGATTAAACACAAACTTTAATGAGTGAAATAAATACCGAATGATTATCATATAGTATTCAGGGGGATCAAACATTTATTTTTGTTGTTTTCTTAATGTAGCATGCAGCTTTGACTTTGAGGATGGAATCGGCGGGTGGGAAAAGACAGGCAGAGCTTTCATCTACCAGCCAACATTTGGTGACAATCCAGCAGCTCGGGAAAGAGAAAGCGCCCAGCAGCAAGGGGACTGGTGGATAGGGGGAGCTGAGAAACGGTCTAATGAGAGCGATCCCGCAGGAAAGCTGCATCCAGATGGAGCCGACAAACCCAAAGGAACTCTCACTTCACCTTGTTTTCGTATCGTCGGCAAGAAGATCTCGTTTCTTATCGGTGGGGGATGTACCATGGCTGAGGCTCGCGCGGAGCTTATTGTCAACAACGAGGTGAGGTTATTCACTTTGACTATTATTTGTCCTTTAATTCTTTTAAAACATCTTAGGTAGTTTCATCAAGGTATCAGGAATTTAATTTTGCGAAACCATGCTGAGCTTCGTGATATCGATAAGGTTCGCTTCGGTTTAAAATGAGATACTCATAGGGAAAAATTTATTTAAAAAGTAAAATCTAAACATTTTCGACCCTTTGTCATCATCTGGGTAACTGATGATGATCCTGATAACAACCAAGTGTCGAAAACGTTTGGTTTTACTTTTGAAATATTTTTTGACTTAGAAATGGCTTATTTTGAGCTTACTTATGGGAGAGTCCGTGAGATAACCAACTTGGCTTCTGCCACACTCTACTTCACTGTTTTAGTCTTTTGCTTACTTTTCTTGGAAAGGACAGGTTTTTTACCTCTAAGTTTAAAGCGTTGCAAGTAAGTTGATGCATGATATAGTCATGTTAGGGCCATCCCTAAATTTTGGAAGGATATTCCAGGCTCTATCAGAAATACCCAATCTTTAAGCAAGTTTAAGAAAGCCCTTAAGACATTTTTTATCTGCAAAAGCTTTCTTATTCTTTGTATGTAATTTTTTTATATGTCTACATCTTCTTAGTGAACATTTTGATTTTTTAGTTTTTACTATCTATGTAGAGTTGATTTTTTAGCATGTAATTGTAATGCGCAATTGAAAATTCCTATATTGATAACTGTGCAATCATGAAGTCAGTAAATCATTATTCTTATTATTATTGTTAGTTATGTCAGCAAGCATCGTAACAAAGCATTCAAAACTGTTTGTTTTTGGTTGCGTTCAGGTCGTCAGAAATGAGACAGGAAACTGTTCAGAGACAATGTACAGTAAGAGCTGGGACCTAGTGGAGTTTATTGGTCAATATGCGCAAGTCAGACTTGTAGATGAGAGTTCTGGTGGTTGGGGTCACATCAACTTTGATGACCTTAAAGGAGATATCATTTGTCCTCACCATTTTGACGAGAAAAACTGAACAGATAGCGCCTCTTGAAACTGACATATTATCTCAAGTTTGGTTTTTTGCAGATAGTCATCGTGAAAGTATGGTGAAACAGCTTTTGACGTAGTATAGTACGAGAATGATTTGTCTTCCGAGTGGGCCATGAATTCGTCATTTGCAGAAAGAAGTGAATACGCACGAGTACAAAGTCCCTATAAATTTACGTACTTGAGAAAACTTAACATTCCTTTGTTTTCCTCCCAGTGTCAGTGTTAGTTAGCTTAACAAACTTTCTTACGTACAGAAATATTTAATTATTTTTTTTTTCCATATTGTGACGAATCCGCGCCACAAAGGTGGGTGCCCCCTAACACAAACAAAACACAGAACATAAACGAGTCCGAGAACACACGCCACAATACAACTAAACGTAGGCCTAGAGATATTTATTATGCTAATAAAACAATAAAGCGACTAACAATAACGATAATACAATGATCTAATTAATTTACAGGAATACGCTAACTTAAACTACAGTACACTAAAACTATTTACAAGATTATTACTATTAAGATAAAAAAAA